GATTTTTTTCTATTTCTGTTCCTGGTTGAGAATGACTGAAATAAGACCACTGTAAAGTGAAGCCGAAGTTCAGTGAAACCTTTCAAACGTAATCGGCTTAATGTCTATTAGTCGAAACTAAATGTAGAGGAAATTTTGTGAAGCTCCTCAAAGTCATGCTAAATTAAAGTGCTAAATAGTTTGAGCTTTTGCATTTGTATGAAGGACTTTCCTAATCACTTCAGAGCCCAAATTAAATCTGTTTATCAAATCAGTTTTACTCGTCATTTTTGCATCTAAATGCAACATCAGCCACCAACCAAACTATTATATCCAGACGTATATGACTGTTCAAACTGGCACATTTTTGCTCATTTATTTTTGTGCAAATTCGCTAAAAACAATATTGTAGTTGCATTGCATCATTACACCCAAAGAGCTCACCAAATGTCTGCACATCAGTTTGTAGTTAATTAAACCTAACCATTTTCTTGAATTTGTCATTAATAATGGTTTCTGTTTAGCACCCTCAGTCTTTCAGTTTGTCATGATGAAAAACATGCTAGATAAAGATCTTAACTTCTCTACAACGGCTGACACATACATTAAAGAAAAGATCAATATTTATTTATTGCATGTTGGTTCTGTCGAGTGTGAACACAGCAGCCGGCATGTACAGTGTACACAAGCATAAACAGGTCGATAAAGTGAGGCGGTGTCCCACCAGACAAACGCTGGAGGATTATTGGCTGTTCAAAGTGTGGCAACTCCTATTTTAGCAGTTGTTTCTATACGCAGCTGCTGCAGGCAAAACAAAACTCTAGTACATTCGTGTAGATTTGGCCACTGCACGGCACCAGCTGAAATAGCTTCACGTGTCCCCCTTTACCCACCATGCCTAGGTAAGGATGTGGTCATGGATAGCAGCAACAGGCCGGTAGCAAACCACAGCCTGGACAGGTCCCATCTCATCAACGGACATCAAAGTTTTAAATGCAAATGTTTAAACTGAATATTGAATACAGACAGAATCATCCATTTTAGTACAAGATTTAACCATAAAGCTCAGTTCCTGCATTGAAAACCATAATGATCAGGCCTACTTTGTTGATTGCAAGGCTAAGGGAACTTCTTTTCAACTCAAAATAGCAAATATGAAGTAAGAAGCAAAATAAAAGAAGCAGGATAATACAGAAAGGTAAACCATGTGTTATAACGAATTGGCCAGTAAACCTTTAACAAAATTATACTCCAATTGATATCAAAATCATACTCCAAACATCAGGTTCTGGTTACCTGATCAAAAGGTCCAAACAAAGACATCTTTCCAGTGTATTTTTAGAGTTCATAGTGCAGACCTGTAAAGCAATCTCCTTAACTTCTGGTCCAATAAATAAAGCCAGTAAAGATTATTCTTTCACAAGACATAGACGATACATCGTCTGGCTGATATTTTTGGATGACATTAGCAGGGTTTTTGTTGTATCCATATCTACCATTGTGTAAAAATAAAACAGGGAAAGAAGAAAAACAAATTGGTTAAAAGAAACATCCTAGTGACCTATTTGCAAACCATAAGCTAAAGTCATTTGAACAGCTTGATAACATTGACAAGCTGAATGGTAGAAATCCAAACAGGATTTCTACCGTTTGTTTGCAAATAAGGCATTATATTACTCACAGACAACCCTTATTGACCACCCTGAAACATCTGCTGTTGAGAAAATTCTGTTTAATCAACAAGTAAAAGCATCTATGAGCTCACTTTACCATACACTGAATGGAGTTTCAGCTACTGATGTGCAGGGGGGTCAGGGGTGTGTGGGAGAGGGAGTTCTCTGTAGCCATAGATGAGGACAAGTGGGATACTATCTGGTCTCTTGCAAAAGGGATCTCAGTTTGTACTCTGACAAGAGAAATACAATTTAAGATTTTGCATAGACTACATATCTCCCCTCATTGTAGGAGCCTCTTTAACCTCTCCCTTTCCCCTCTCTGTCACAGGTGCAAAAAACTCTCTCTGAGATTGTCACAAACGTCAAAGATACTGGGCTGAAATTACAAGTGAAATGGGGAAAAATTTTCATATTAATTTAGATATAGACCCTTGATTCTGGGTCTGTCACTTGCCTGGCTGAAAACTGCAGCCAACAAAGGACTGTGCAATATCTTAACCTTTGCAGCTAGAAAAAATGTTCTTCTGCAGTGGGTCAGTGACAAAGTTCCTTCTGTCTGTGGCTGGCGTAAACTTATTTCTAGGGCTGCAACTAACGATTATTTTTTTTTAAAAATCGATGAATCGGCCGATTATTTTTTCGATTAATCGATAAATCGGACAAAAAATATTTTTTATATTAACCTCTTTATTCCTAAAATAAACATTTTAGACAGAACAAACAAGCACACAAGTACAGGTTGCTTATTAACTGTACTGGTGCAATATGAAAAATAAATGTTTGTGTTAAAACTAAGCAAACTTACATGAGAAATGTAGCTGTACATCCACAAAATATAGGGTACTTTGTTTCATAAAGCGCAAAAAAAGACATTTTTGTTTTTAAAAGCCCCTAAGGGGTTCAAACAATAGGTCCCCCCATTTCAACAAATTAGTTTGTTTTTTTTTAGACTAGAAGAGTTCTGCCTTTTAAGACAGGAAAGTATAGCAGTTAAAGTTGCTACTTGAGAAAATACTGAACCATAGAGATAAAAATAGCCCTGTGATTCAAATTATAAATTGTATTTGGAATAAAAATGAGAGAACTAGGGGTGCTAAAAAACACATCCTCCAAAGACAGATATTTACATGGGAATGTGGCAGATAATTAATTGACATATTAGTGATCTTGCTGGATTTTATTCTGCTTTACTTCCATAAATTGCAGGATCTTCTTTACTTTATCTTTGCCAGAAGATTTAAACTTTAAAAGCCTTGCCCTCATAATTTGCAAGTTAATTTATTTATAAAGAAAATATAAACGCTGCTTAAGCTAATTCAAATGAAATTAAAATAAGTAGCCAACCTTATCACTGTCTGTAACCTAATAACACGGTAAGAAAAGCATCAGATGAGCTACCTGAGAAACTAACGTTACGTTTCCCCACTTTAAAACCAAACAAACATGGTCGCTCATCCTGCTGATCAGCTCTCTTCACTGCCATCGAAGGCTCCAACGTGTTTTCTCTTCAGGTGCTGCATCATAACAGTGGTGCTTCCGTGCCATGTTTATTTGTTTTTACAAAAGTTGCATGTTACGACTTTTTTCGCTTTACAAAGCGCAGGCTGTCTGCGAATTGAGACGCAGCTTGCGTTTGCGGTATCGGTAATTAGAACAGTTGACATTATTGCCTTTTGAAAACAGCCTTTGCTCACCTGCGACACTGGCTTGCTCTGCCATATTTTTTTTTTTCTTCCCCAGTTTCAATCAAGTGGCAGTGATGACGACGGCGGCGGATGACGCATTAATCGTGCGACACAACTAATCGATGATGAAATTCGTTGCCAACGCCTTTAAAAGTCGATTTTTATCTATTTTATCGATTCGTTGTTGCAGCCCTAGTTATTTCCTCTGGAATATCTAATCAATGTCATGCATGACATTGAAGACCGGTTTTACAGAGTATGGCGCCCATTTCTGGACTAAATTGGACCGGACCTCTCCTCCACACTATTAAGAGGCTAGCTGTAGGGCTGAACAGTATATGTGCATTATAAGACTGATTTACCACCTTTTGCATCATGTCTGCAATGTAAGAGCCGTCATGTAGGATTTGTGTTTTTTCTGTTCTGTGTCTAATGTTATAGACACTGTTTGTTGAAGCATTGAAAATGCAATTTAAAAAAAAGAAAATAAGAATTGTCCTAAAATATCGGCAGCTTATCAGCTAGAAGTCCAATCAGCCTTAAAAACAAAACTTTATTTGTTGATCTCCGACTTTTATATCTTTTAACATAAATAAGCTTCATTGTTACCATTTCTGTTTAGCTTAATATCTGTAAAGGATCTTAAGACCCCATACTTTGTGACCTGTGACTCCAACTTTGGGAGCCAGTGCAGTAAACGGTATTGCTAGTTTTAGAGTTGAGGTGTATCACTCAAATCCTCTCAACTTAAAAAGGTTTCCTATTAAGAGCAATAACAGAAAACATTCAATTGGTGGCTAATATTTCTTAGCTGGATGTTGCAAAGTGGGTGGCGTAACTGATTTCAACTCATCTTAGAATTCTAAGATGAATTTAAATCAGTTAGTGAACAATAAAGCTTTTACTGCCCCTTCCCCCAAAGAAACAGAAAAGCTCAATCAAAGATCATCATGAATTTTTCTTTAAAAAGGGTCTAGTCACTATTTTCACAGCTTTAAAAACATTTATTCATCCTTAAATGTAACAATAAATGGGAAGCATTTCACCTCATAGTGTTTTCTTAGTTCTTTCAGACATGAATCAGAGTTTTGTAGTGGAAGCGATCAGCATGTTTGCACACTGTCTGCTGGCAATACTTATCCAACATCCACCCCGTTCATTTGGTCCCTTGTACCAGAGAACTTTGTCGTAGTTGAAAAATATTTATTGAGAGATTCATCACCAACACCCTGGTGAGAGCAGGAACAGAAAAACTGACATCCAGCTGCAACAAGAGCCCCAATACAAGCGTAAACTTCACTTTAACAGTCTGACCCAGACTCCTCTAATTTAAAAGGTGAACTGATAAAGGAATTTTCCTTTTAGGTGTATTATATTCAATTCAGATACATTTCAATTCAATTCAGATTAAATCAGGGCAAAATGTATCTAATTATAAAAAAGCATTAAATAAATACTGATTATTTCCAAAGCAGTTTTCCCTATTTTAACTTGACATGTGACTGGAGTCACTATCATCATTTACGTCCCACATAAAATGCTGATAAAAACATACAGATGCATTTTTTTCCACTGGTATCGCACAAAAACACACCTGTAGAAGAGGTCAGCCTCCTGCAGCTCCTGACCTCTCCAGCCCTCCTCTCTGCAAGTGACGTACGGAGGAGGATTGAGCCTTCAGTCAGCAAAGAGGAAGAAGAACAAACAGCAGCAGAGTCAGCCGTCTGAGACATAAAATCCACAGCCCCCCCATTACTAACACTAGCCATCTCCCTATAGGTTTTGCTCCCTCACGGCTTCTCCCTCTGTCTTTTCTCTCATCCTGCAAGCTGCCATCGCAGAGAAAGGCACTCAAAAGCGTGCAAATGTATGGATTGCAAGGGGAGCTAGGGAGAGACCACCAGGTGGAGAGTGGGCAGAGAGGAGGAGGATGACCAGAAAATCCGTAGGAGGAGAAGGAGGTAAAAAGAGGGAAGAGATGCCACCTGGAAATGCACTGCTGTTAAAAAATGTATCCCAATTTGGAGCAACGTGGTGTGAAGAAAAGATTGTTTCTGTGATGTTGGGGGGTGTTTGTCCCCTGAAAACCCTGACAGGCTCCATCTTCACTTCCTAATTTAATGACTTTCTAAGCTTTAAATAAAAAAAAACATTCAAAGAATTGTATAACTAGGTATAAGCAGTGGATATGTGGATTCATTAAATAAATGAAGAACTTAGAAATGAAATTTAAAAGCTATATAAATCTAAAATTATTTTTGTAATTACATAATTTAAGAAGAATAGAAAATCACCTAGTTTTGGTGTAAAACATCAGCACCCCTCTGTGCTGGCCTGAGATGGTACAGGCTCTGAGAAGCTGCTCAGTCACTGTTGCTAAGGCCCACCCTCTTGAATGTCGGGACATAAAGCAGAGAGTAAACAGCCTCAGTCAGACCTCTGACTCCTTCATTCATCACGCTCTGAGAGGCTGATCGCCATGTGGACAGGTGGAATCAGCAGCAGCTCCTTTTATTTGCTAATGTGCAGGTTTTGCTGCAGTGAACTGTTAGCTGTCAGGTTGTGAGCAGCAGTGACGTGGGAAAATGCCGGCACGTGGCTTTCACATGAGGGGGATCTTTAACTCGCTTTGGGTCAGTCTCACAGAAAGTGGATTTTATACCTTATAGGTGTAGTTTAATATTTAATGATCAATTCTGAGAGAACTATGCTCCTTAAAATGCACAAAAGACAAACAAAGACCTTGTTTATACACCAACAAATAATCTACTTTATCATACTTCAAATTTTACTAAAACAAATGCATAGAAAAAGTCACATAAACAAGAAATACGTATGTTTTTCCTGAGCCCATTTCTTTTAATTTAGCAGAAATAAGGGGAAACATGTCATCATTCTTCTGCTAATACTTAAATACTTTTTATTTTATTATGAATTCAGATATTTTTACAAGTTTTGTTCCAAAACAAAAGTACTGGCTAGAGATAATCTATATGTTTAGGAACATTTATTGTGTGTATTAAATATAAATCTTTTAAACGAGATGTGTGCCATACGGTCACCTATTAAGTTAAAAAGGAAAAGTCCAGGGGTTGGAATTAAATCGCCCTAAATTAATAAATGTGCAGTTAATGTTTATGTGTCGATGTCCATTATATTAACAGTGCTGCAACACATGTTATTTAAAAAGAACTTAAAATGAAAACTTTGTGTTTTTATTTGGGTTTGTTTCGATTTTGGTCTTAAATAGTAAAAGCCGGATTTCGATGAAAAATATGCTGATGTTTATTTCATGTGAATCTAGGGGGAAATAAAATAAACAATCCTCAAAATTTGGAGATGAGGTGAAAGACTTACACAAACCAAAAAATAAATGAATTCACATCTCGAAATCTGGCCTTTCGATGAATGCTAAATAATAATAAATGTCATCTGTAGAGTAAGTAATAATAAAAAAATAAAAAAATTCTACTGGAAAAAAAGACTATGGAGCTTATTAACTGTTGCATTTCCAAATTAGTGAATAAAGAGAATTTGGTCATTTATGAAGGGGGGCGAGATTTTTGTGGCGTAAGGTTAGCTAACCTTTTTTGTTGTGGCCGGTTTGTCGGAAGCATCTTGCTAACCAGTTAGCAACTTAGTGCTACTGGATTCCCAATGGGAAATTACATTAGGAAAAAGCAGCAGTTAGCAACGACACTGTCAAGGAACGCTATGGACAGAAGAAACATGGAAGAGGAGGAGAGTTTAGTGTCGGAGGTCCTGGATGAGTCTCCTCCGTCATACATTTTTTATTTAAAGGAGGAAAGTGGGGACGAAGGTTTACAGCCGTACATGTTTGAGCCCTTGCCTCGCAAGCTCCTGACCTCACAGTTATGTTAAAGTATTTGAACCGTTGCGTATATTAGCTGCGACATATGAATCAAGGTGCTGTGACCAAAAAAATTTGATTGACAGATGACCGTTGATATATGATTGGCTGAATTTAGGCGTACAGGCTGATGTATAACTAACCGGCCTGCATAACATAATGGAAAAAAACACAGATTTTAAGAAAGGATTTTTTTTTTTTTATATAGAAATTTTTTAATTTTTGGGACAATATGGTCTGATAAAGAGTACATTTATATACATGTTTAAGCCAGAATGATGTGACATTTAAATATGACTCTCCTTCGACTTTAAGCTGCTAAAAATAAAGGATAAAAACTGCCACATGTAAGAGGTCATTCTACCAAAATTGATTAAAAAAAAAAGAAACTTCTGCTACATCTAGTTCTGGGCGGATTTTGTAGTTGGTGAAAGAAAAAGCCTTGATGTCTTATTTCTTCCAAGGGAGGAATAAGGCTGCACCTGAGATGCAGAATATTAAACACAAACTTAAAATAATTCTTTGTAAATAAAAACTTGTAAATAAATTGTTTTTTCTAAAACATGCTTTTCGATTAAAATGCAATTCATTCATAACAGACCCTGTAATTAACTGAATAATTTTTTTATTGAATCCCATCACTAGTTTACATTTTTAATGCTGTGGTAATTGAACGAAAAACGTATATTTAAAATAAACCGTAACAAAGTTTATTAGTTTGTAAAATTCTCAGTAACTTGATGTTCTTGATCAATTTCAACAATCAGAACCAACTTATAAAAAGCATCCATCAGATAAGCTTTTTTACCCTTGTAAATGAAAGAAGGCTTTCAGCGGCTGTGGGGTAAAGTTTAAGATCTGCACTCATAGCATAAACATATAAACAATGCTCCTGTGTTCCTTTAACAGCTCCTGTTTCTCAACTGAATACCCTGCTCAGTTCCAGTTCATTGTTTCCCACCATCTGTGTACACCCAGAACCAGGATGTTTACCGGCAGTGAGAAATAATCTTGGACCGCACACAGCTCCACAAACGCCACAACACACAGCCAGAGTGCTCAGAGTGTAGAACTGTCGGTGTGAACCATCTCAACTTAGTGATGTCCACAGAGGCTCCTTTATTTGTGCAACAACTACTAAGTACATACAAGTGGCTCCATAACACACAGAAAAATCCCTTACAGCACTTCAAAACACCCTGTCAGCATTATGGGTCTTTCTGATGAATTTTGCGTGGAAATCTGACCAGTTTAGATGTAAAAGTACATACTTTTCCATCAGCAGAGGAGCTGAAATACAGCCGCCACTTCAACAGAAGCACCAGAGAAGCAGTAGTGGGGATTTCCAAAAAATATCAGGAGCTTTCAGACTCTACTAATGAAAATCTAGGTTTTTTTTAAGCCTTTGAACAAATCACCAAAACAAAAATATAATAAAAAAAAATATTTTTCTACATGCAAAGCAAAAAAAATAGAACACCCCCCCAAAAAGAAAAAAACCTGCAAAATTCAAAATACTTTATATATAAAAAAAAAGATTAACAATCAAATTTTTACTGGACAGCAAAAACTGCCTTCCTAACTATATAATCACACCACAAAAAAAAGTGAACCAAGGCTAGGTTCACACTGCAGGCCTTGATGCTCAATTCAGATTTTTTTGTGAAATCCGATTTTTTTTTGCGTTGCCGTTAGGGCTGGGTATTTTTCAGGGTTCCTACAGCATAAGGCAAGATAAATTCAAGACTTTTTAAGACTTTTTAATGCCACTTGAAATCAAAATTTAAGACCAAATTTACAAGAAACACAAGACACAATGATAATGAAAGCGGTTCAACTGTGTTTCAAAATACTCATGTATTTTATCTTTTCCTGTCACATTAAACGCAAAGTGCAAACTTGTAAATCAGACAGTTTAAACTTGAGATGTGAACAAAACTGTCTCAAAAGTGCAAACTTGTTTGTGAAAAGTGA